TCGTTTATAAATCCAAACGCAATTTCGGACTGAGCTGGAGATTTTGTTTAAAAAAAGATTCATGGATTTGCACAACGAGTACGCGCACACCCTTCTTAGCAATTGGTATTTATTTTCAAATTAATTTATTTAAATCTGAAACAAATTTGACAAATAATTAAGACTTTATTTGTGTTATACATTTAATATTGAAATTATTGCCCAACGGAAGCTACGATGTTTGCTCATCTTATTGGCAGTTGGTGGATGCCATCCCAAAAGAACTTCTCCGGCTTGGCGGTCAAGAAAGAATCGAGCCAATTTTTTTAATATATATTGATACCCTGTTCTGAAGTGATGCGTACTCCGGTGAGGGCATTCTGCATTGATCTGAACAAGTGGTAAACGGAAGGTGCTATGTCTGGGCTATAAGGCGGGTGAGGTAGAACTTCTCACCCCCAGTTTCCCAAATAGTTCTTAACTGGCCTTCCAGTATGTGGCCGAGCGTTGTCATGATGATATTCAGGTCGTTTTTCCGCGATGGCCTCTTTCAAACGAATCAATTGTTTTCGCTAGAGGTCTCCATTGATCGTCTGACCCGATTTCAGTAGCTCATGTGGTCCCACCAAATACATAGCATAATCTTGGCACCACGGATATTCGGCTTTGCCGTGGATGTCGACGGTTGGCCGGGCTTCACATACGATCTCTTGCGCTTTGGATTATTATAATGAATCCATTTTTCATCGCCAATGATAATCCGATGCAAAAGTGACTTCGTTTAGTGGTGTTGAAGCAACATTTCCGACATGCAGAGCCGACCTTCGACGTCTATTGGCTTTAATTCATATGGCACCCAATTTCCAAGATTCTGGATGAATCCTAATGATTTTAATCGCCTGGAAACGGTTGCTTGATCAACTCCTGATACTTTTGCAAGCTCTTCTTCCGCCTGTCATGCATCTGCGTCGAGCAATGTCTCCGATTCGTCGTCTTGAAATTTTTTTGCCAGACCGTCGTCTAAGCCGAAATTGCCACTTTCAAACCGTGCAAACCACTTTTGGCACATTCGTTCGGCTAAAGCATGGTCACCATAAACGTTCAGTAAAATACGTTGGCTTTCGGTAGCACTTTTCTTCATGTTAAAGTAATGTAGAAGAACTCCCCACAAAAACACTTAACCTGTTACAAATTTCGACATTTCGAAATGAAAGAAACAAGTTGTTTTTCACGCTAAAACAAATGATATCTGCTGAAAACGACGCCAAATGACAGTACCTTTGAAATGAATATCGCCACAGATAAGCACGACGCGAAATGATACTAGTAAAGCCCTCGCTTCGAAAACCGCAAGAACTAATGCATAGACTCAAAAAAATATAATTAAAATTACAAAACAATTAACTTAGCACAAGCTGCCACGGTGTGTCCTAAAAATAACCAAACTTTATATTTAAATCATACAACATACAGCGCCATCTGTTGAAAATTTACAACATTGAAAAGATACATTCATCCTCTTTCAAACGCACCTAACATCATGTAAGTCGGATGACAGATGTAAAAGTGACAGCCATTTCAATAAAACCAAAAGTGTGTTAACGGTCCAAAAATAAAATGGCACAAAGAGCAAATATAAAATTTGGTGTCAAACTTGAAAAAAAAAATTAATGAAAAAAGTTTATTGTGATGATTGTATGAGTCGTGCGCAAGTTTATACACGCAAGTTTTTACACGATTTAAAAATGGTCGTGAGGATTTAAATGACGACCCTAGAGCAGGACGTCCAGAAACTAGTAATCGTGCTGAACTGGTGGAAAAAGTCCGCGAAATCATTGGTATCGATGCAAATTTTACTACGAGCATGTTGGCTGAGGAATTGAATACGAGTAAAAACACTATTTTGAGAATTTTATTTGAAGATTTGGGAAAAAGAAAGGTCTGTGCGCGATTTGTTCCAAATGAATTAAATGACGACCAAAAAATCACTCAAATTTGTAATGAAAAAAGGAATTTCTCTCACCGACTATCCTCCGCATTCGCCAGATCTATCAACATGTGACTATTTTTTATTTCCAAAACTGAAAACCAAGATGAAGGGAGCATTTTATGTTGATATCCCAGCCATTCAAGCAGCCGTAACCGAGGTACTGAAGAACATTTCTATAAATGACATAAAAAAAATTTATGCTTGCGCTGGTTGATCGTTCCAAACGTTGTGTTGAGTCAAATGGAACCTATTTTGAAAAAATAATAACTTTCAAAGATAATATAATGTGTATTTTATTTTATATCCAAAAAGTTCGGTTATTTTTGGGACACATCATGTTTATATTAACAATTATTTAAATTAAGTGGTAGATTTTTATATTTTTATAAAATTGTAGAAATTAGTTTTATGTTAATTTCGGTGGGGTATGGTAAGATGGATTGTAGTGGATTACGGTTACCAAAAAATTGGCTCCTTAGATTGGAGAGAGCTGGACAGCTGAGCAATATGTGGTTCACTGTTGGGTTTGAGTTATTTCAAAACTGTCACGTTGGCTGGGGAGATGAACATGGATGAGTTGAGTGTGACCAAGTCTCAGGCGTATGAAGCAACTATTGGCCCATGTTGATGTACTGGTAGGAAGTTTTATAGCAATTCCCTGAGTATTTATTTCTTTGTATTTGTGATGGTATGCTTACCAATCGTTTGTGTATTGCAGCAAAGCGGGGTTGAGACAATATGTTTTAAGGATTTGGGTCCAAAAGGCATAAAATAGTAAAGGCATGATTTTAGAGCAAGTTTGCCTGCAGCGTCGTCAGGAATACCAGAGTGGGCTGGAACCCACATCAGTTTTATCTTTGATGATTTGTTTGTCACTATGCTTTGAATTTTTTCCATCGTGTCATCGTGTTGGCTATTTCAATTGCCGAAATCAATCTAGGTAGCTCAGAATCAAATATATTTGCATAATGTGGAAGAAGGTCGTGGGTTCCGATAGTGCCGTTGTCGTCGGTTATTGCAAATGAGACCCCCTCTTTTTATTTCGAGCCATCTGTAAAGGAGGAAGTGCCATCCGTCTTGTTAGCTGGTGTTGCAATACTGTTGGAATAACTGTTTGTAGGTGGAGTTACAGGTGTGTTCTTTACGTCCGTTTGCAAGTTGGCTGATAAAAGTTCCGAGCTATTAAACCACGGTGGTGAAGATCTGATGCATGCATCAGCTTCTGTGCAAAATATGGATGAAAGCATGCCTGACGAAATCCAGAAAAGGCGAATCCACAGTCTACGCCAATTATCGTGGAATAAGCCTTCTTAGCATATCATATAAGGTTCTGTCGAGCGTATTGCGTGAAAGACTAAAGCCCACCGTCAACAAACGGATTGGACCTTATAAGTGTGCTTTAGGCCTAGTAAGTCAACCATTGGCCAAACATTTACCATGTGGCAAATATTGGAAAAGACCCGTGAAAAGAGGATCGACACCCATCACCTCTTCGTCGATTTTAAAGCAGCCTTTGATATTATGTAAATGAACTGCAGCTATGTAGGATCAGGCAGGGCATCTCCGAACCGTTCGATACCAAACGAAGTTTGAGAAAAGCTGATTCTTTATCGTGAAATTGTTCAATATATTTTTGCAAAAATTACAAGAACTGCAGAGTTGAAAAGAGACGGTACAATTAACTGCAAGAGTGTACAGCTTCTGGCGTACCCGGATGTTATTGACATTATTGGCCCCAACAATCGCGGAGTGAGTTCTGCTTTCTCCATACTAGATAAAGTATCGAAATATATGGGTCTGGTAGTGAACCAAAATATCTCCTGTCATCAAACAAACAGTCATCACAATCACGACTCGGCTCGCAGGTCATTGTTGACAGACGTAGCTGTAGCTTTGTAGTCGTAGATACCTTCATCTATCTTGTTACCAGTATTAACACCAACAACAATGTCAGCCTCGAAATACCAAAAGGTCTTCCTTTGAACTGAGTAGGCAATTCCTGCCGTCCTGCTGTATAGTGCGAAGCCAGAGACAATGACAACATCTGATGAGTAGGCGTTAGGAGTTTTCGGTAGAAAGCTTTTGCATAAGATTTATGGTCCTCTACGAGTTGGTGATGGCAAATACCTCAGTCGATAAAACGATGAGCGATGATGAACGACGGCAAGGTAATGTGGTCAGAAGAAAACACTCGGGCTTAGAAAGTTTTCGATGCAATACCCGCTGGTGGAAGCAGGGGAAGAGGAAGACGTCCACTACGTTGGAAAAAAACAGGTAGAGAAGGACCTGGCTGTCCTTGATATTGCTAATTGTCGCCAAAAAGCAAAAAGAAGAATTGAATCGCGTAAGCGGTGTCTACGCTAGTAAAGAAGAAGAAGAGGAATGTCGATTCCGTTTTGAAACTTGAAAACGATATTCTAAATATAAGTCCATTCATACAATTCTACCCACCTTAATGTAAACAAATAAATATTTTTTTATACATATTTTTGTATGTATGTACGACCTTTTGTAGGCAAGCAAAATCGAAAATCCAATGGCAACATTATTGATTACCTTCCTTTACGACATTCAATTCGTTTTGAATTTTTAGTGTTACTCTGCGCTTTGTTTTTGTATTTCCAACAAGCTTTTTCAGCTGTGTTTACTCGAGCAAATAACTTTGTTAGACTGTGACAGAGGCGAATCTACTTACAGTTAATCGAAAATAAAGCTTTTCGAGTTTTTGTAAAATTTTCATTTCTTTGCACTTGCTTTTCCACAAGCAAATTTGGCTTACTAACGTGTACATACATATAATATGCGAATTTATATATGCGAAGCTTAGCTTTAAAAAAAAAAAAAGCCAAAAAAGCAACGCGCGAGATCATTGATCGCCGCAAGCTATGCCGAACCAAAGAGAGTGAGTGTGTTATTAGAAAGAGCGAGCGTGAGAGCGCGCGCCCAGTGCAGTTATTATTTATTTTGTTATTTTTTTACAGCAAAAAGTAATATTTCTTGATTTGATTTTCGGTTGACGCTGCAATCACGATGGAGACTCAATGGCTCCGACTTTTTATACAATTTTTGGGTACAAAGCTTCTCAACTATGCTGCTTTTGAAGACGCTGCCGTGATCGTGCGCTCACTCTGGTGGACTTGTCGCTAGACGCTCAGCGATCGTGCATGCAAATGCCTATAACGAGAAATCAGTTGTGAATGGCAAAAGCTTGAAGTAGGTAATATTGCCACGGAGACGTGCGTTCGCTTATATGTACTACTATTTATCCAGCTTAGTGCAGCACGTTTAACGCTGTATCGTCCGTCGTGCGCCTTTTCGTTCGTTCGTTTGTATATGCAATTACTAAGTACGCGCTGGAGCTGGTGCTTAAGTGGAAACTGAAATTGAAGCCTTCGAAGAGAAAACGGTAGACGTGCGGCCTGCGGGTTGTGATATTGTATTTATGTACATACATATGTATATAGTGTAGTATAGTGCGGTGCGACGTGGCGTTGTATGGTGTAACATTTTGTGTTGGACAAGCAGTGCGCATTTAATGGACACAAATTTCACTTAACGAATTTATTTTAACTTTTCAACATTTTTTTTTTTTTTTTGATAATAAATGTCAAATTTTCGGCAATCGGCGGTCGAGGCGTACACAAATATGTATTTATGTACAAAAGTAGCCAATCTTTGGGTGTTTGCTTGATTGGTTGTCAGTGATATTTAATTCCATAAATTGTTGTAATTAAAAAGCGTTGACGCATAAGTGTTGCTTGCATACATACATACATACACATATACACATTATAAAAATGTATGTATGTATATATGTATAAGCAAACGTTTAAGAAGGGTATAAAAAGCTGACAGTGGCATAACACGCTAATTAATTGCGGCACAAAGAAAAACACAAACAACAATCATAAATGCAGAACAAATAGAAGAAGGCATGTATTGTACATACATACATATCTATGTACATATAATAAATTCCTCATGAAAAAAATAAAAGTAAATAATACCAAAAAGAGACAAAAACGATAATGCTACAACAACAAAAATGCAACACATAATGATATCTACTGATAATATACGGTTTCGAAAAATGTGTTCAAGCAAAAAGAATATAAAAAATAATGAATAAGAAAAATAAAAATAAATTAAATAAAAATCAAAAAAATTATTTGACAAAAAAGTCAAAAAAATAAATAAATCTAAATAAACAAATAAAGGCTATGAAAATAAAAATAAAAATAAATGAAATAAAAATTAAAGAAAATGTTTAACAAAAAAAAAACAACAAAAAAATAACTACTAAAAAAAATAAGTAAAGGCTATGAAAATAAAAAAAATTAAATAAAATAAAAATTAAAAAAAAAAAATTATTTAACAAAAAAGTCAAAAAAATAAATAAATCTAGATAAACAAATAAAGGCTATGAAAATATAAATAAAAATAAAATAAATAAAATTTGGACATAAATGTTTAACAAAAATAAATAAGTTATAAAATTAAATAAAATAAAAATCAAAAAAAAATTGTAACAAAAAAAAACATATGGACAAAATAATTAATGAATAAATAAAGGCTATGAAAATAAAATTAAAATAAAAATAAATGAATTAAAAATCGAAAAAAATATTTAACAAAAAAAATAGCAAAAAAAAATAAATAATACTAAATAAATAAGTAAAGGCTAATAAAGTAAAAATATAAATAAAATAAGTAAAGGCTATGAAAATAGAAATAAATAAAATAAAATTCAAAAATTTTTTTTACAAAAAATCTCAAAAAAAATAAATATTAAATAAATAACTTATGAAATTGAAAAAAAAACAAGTAAAATAAAAATCAAAAAAAAATTGTGTGCATAAAAAAATATCTAAAAAATAAATATATACCAAATTAATAAGTAAAGGTTATGAAAATAAAAATAAAAACAAATGAAATAAAAATCGAAAAAGGGTTTAATATAAAAAAATATAAATTTTAAATAAATAAGTAAAGGCTATGAAAATAGAAATAAATAAAATAAAATTCAAAAATTTTTTTTACAAAAAATCTCAAAAAAAATAAATAAATACTAAATAAATAAGTTATAAAAATAAATAAATATCAAAGATTTATTAATAAAAAAATTTCAAAAACATAAATAAAGCCTATGGAAATAAAATTACAAAAATATGTATGTATGTGCATATGTATGTTATAAATGTTGTTTAAGTAAACAATGTATTTTTAATTAAACAAACGATTTACTTCAAATTTTAACAAATCAAGAAGAAGACCGCATTTTGTAATTATAGTTTACACCAAGACAAAAAAACCATATCCATGAGTTACCCGCAACCGCTAAGAACCAGTTTAAAAAATGATTGACGTTTGTTTGCATTTAAAGCTCTTTTCTCTTCCCAATTATTTCTTCTTTTACTTTCCAATGATGTCAATTAGAAAAAAATATTTTTTTTTTTCAAATTAAAAAATAAATTAATTTTTCAAACTTATTTGTTTTATCGTGAACCAAATGTATTTTTATATGGCCACCATTGGGAGCTGCATGCTGAGTGTAAGCTCACTTGACAAGAATTACAGGAACTTCCGTCTAAAGACCCGAAACGCCTGCTTAATTTATTAAGGGAACATTAACTTTCTTTTATAGACTTGAAACACAGCAGGAAGTGTAGAGCAGGACCTAGACTGCTTCCTACACTGCTCTACATTCCTGCTGGTCATATGTAATGTAGTGTAGTGCAACTGGTAACACCATAGACGTAGTATCGTGTGTGTGAGACCTTCTAAACCCTTGAGCTACATATGAGTATGTAAGTGCTTAACCCTTACGCTACCACCACAGTTCTCCTGAATAGTGTTTCGCAGTTTTCTAATTACGATTGACCCTTCTCCAAGTGTATTTCTAACACGAAATAAACTCCTTATAAAAAACATCAGCCTTTCGGAGGCGGCTTATTATAAATTGTAAGACCCTCCACGGCGGCCGCGGTGGCCGAGTGGTTAGCATTGCGTACTGCCATTCGGAAGGCTCGGATGCAAATCTCCATGCGACCAGAGTCCAAATGTTATAGAAACATAACATTCGGAAGTCTCGAGCTCAAATTAAGTTAAATTTTCTAGTTGCGGTCGACCCTCTGCAGAGAATGTCAAACCCTCCGAGTGTATATCTGACATGAAATAAAGCTCCTCATAAGAAAACCAGGCGGCTTAGTATAAACTGTAGGTCCCTCGATTTGTTGGAAAAACATCAAGACGTAAAACCACGAATTGGAGAAGGATCTCGGCCGAAAATCGCTTCCGGGGTTACAAAGCGCCAATTATATATATTATATAAGACCCTTCATTTGTTGCAAAAACATCAAGACGCATGTAGACTTCTCTTCAGAGCAATTCTACACCAGCTAAATCAATCTCCACAGAGAGGAGCACAAGGTTATCACTTAGTCCGGACTATAAGGTGATTGCTACTGGCGAGTCACTATTGATGAGTATAGTCTGGCGTTGTCCTTATGAAGCGTAATTCTACTCCAATTGGACAAACCTGGGCGATTGCTTTCTTTAGATGGTCCAATTGATAGCAGTCAAATTCCGAATTAAGAGTTTGACCATAGGGGAGTAGTTCGTAGTGTATGATTCTTTGCCAGACCCACCAAACACACACCAAAACCTTTCTGGATTGATGATGTGACGATTCTGCAGCCAATTGCATGTGGAAATTCGGTCCAGGGTTTTTTTTCTCGTTAACTTATCTAACACCCATACATGTCGAGCTTCTTTGTGTAGCCAGCCATTTTCAAGTGGATTTAAACTGATTTTTGAGCAATAAAATCATGGTCAGACTTGACGATTTTCATTATTTTATCGACATATTTGATTTTATAGACAAGAAAATGGCTTCATGGTTACTTGTTGGACAAAACCCCTCCAGTGAAAAGGCCTCCTTATATTTGTACGAATAATTGTAGCTCACAGCTAGAGTTTTAGAGATGAAACTAACTGGCACGGTATGTTGTTTCGAAGGAACTGCACGCCTCGTTTAAATGTGATGTCCAGAACCATCCCGCGAATTTTTTTGTTCTAGCACCTCCCGACTAAAAATCCCTTTACCTCCCTGAAGCTGCACATGGTTGGCGAAAGGTTTTCAGCCGAAGAGAAGGCAAAATAGGATGCGGAGAAGCTTATTAGTGACTTGGCGGGAAGCTACTTCGAGGAAGGCGTTAAGATATTGATACACTACTTCATCGTTATAAAGATGAATGGCGACTATAATCCTATTATATATCTTTATTAATAACATTATACTTGAAAAAACAAGAAACAGATTTTCAAAAAAAAATGTGTCCATGGTTGGTTGTGATACCACTGAGGATCCCCACTAATCTAACTACTGCGTGGAGTTTGCAAAACTGAGCAGTCTCGCTCAAGTCTCCAAAGGTTGCCGCCCCTAGAGCTTGCTGCCTACTTCTCCAAAGTGCGGGGCGTTCGCAAGGATAGTGCTCTAAAGTTTCCGGTGCTAAATCATTAGACGGCAGTGTTTGCAGGTATAAAAGGTAATAGGCGCCTTACACATTCTTTCCTCTGAGGTTTGTGGCCAGCTTAATTTCCTGCCCAGAATGAGTCCCAGGTATTTCACAGACTCAGTAATGTGCAGATCCGTTCCTGAGAGCGTTGGAAATTTTACATCTTCTGATGAAAAGAAGGAGTTTAGATTTCTGTGGGTTGATCCATCCAGAACAGCATCAATGGCTCACTTTTCTATCCTCCTCAGTCCGCTTTGAATGATATCGCTCAAAGTTTGTGGAAATTCACCTGCAGCCCCATCATCCTTCATGTATCTCAGCAGTTGATTCACTGTCAAGACCCAAAGAAATATATCCTTATCTTCTTCTTTATTGGGGTTGGCACCGCTTACGCGATTAGAGCCGAATCAATCTTAGCGTGTCATTCCCCTCTTCTTTTCGCCTGGCGCCTGTTGGAAACACCATGAGAAGCCAGGTCACAATCCACCTGATCCTTCCATCAGAGTGGAGATCTTTCTCTTCCTCTGCTTCCACCAGCGGGTACTAAATTGAATACTTTCAAAGCTGGAATGCTTTCATCCATTCAGACGACATGACCAAGCCAGCGTTATCACCATATCTTCATTCGCTGAACTATGTCAATATCATCATATAGCTCGTACAGCTCATCGTTCCATCGTCTAGGGTATTCCCCGTTGCCAATGCGCAAAAGTCCACAAATCTTTCGCAAAACTTTTCTCTCAAAGACTCCTAGACTCAGATATTGATATCGTCCACGCTGCTACGCCATATAGTAGGACCGGTATGATGAGCGACTTGTAGAGTTTGGTTTTCGTTCGCCGAGAGCGGACTTTACTTTTCAATTGCTTACTCAGTCCAAAGGAGCGTC